ACGCCCCCTGCACAGAGGAGGACACAGGTGCCCTCCTGAGGCCCACTGCCCCTTACACAGAGCAAGACTGACCCACAGAGGGGTGGAGAACAGGGTAGCCTGTGGAGATCACTGGATAGGTGCTGAAGACTATGCCCAGTTTTCTGTGGCCTGACCCCTAGGTTTGCAATGTTCTGAGGCTAGCTGTCCCCGAGGCTCGGGGCTGGATGCACTAGGAACTGCTCTCCCTGGTTTTGGGAACATCAGCCAGTCTTGGAGCATATAGTCAGGGCAGTGGTCTTAACAACGACCCCTTGTGCATAAGGCATTCCTCCTTAAACAGGCCCAGATCCAGTGCCTGCTTCCACCAGTCCCTTATGGGCAGGGACGGGAGAAGGCCACAGGTGAGCCCTGAGGGGAAGTGTACAAAGATAGCCACAGTATTGATCCTTTTATCTCCTGATGTTACTGTTGTTGTTGTTATTAAGTGCCATCGAGTCGGTTCCGACCCAGAGCGGAACCCTCTGTATAGTGTTTCCGAGGAGCAGCTGGTGAGCTTGAACCACCGACCTTGCAGTTCAAACGGCTTTGCAGTTTGACCATTAACCCACAGCGCCACACCAGGATGTTACTAAAGGACCACGTTTGTGTGGTTATCTGCTGCACATTCGACTCCTCTCTGCACAACAAACAAAACACTACATGGTTACGTGCCATCTCCATGATGGGTTGCGGACTGGATCTTTGCGATCCACAGGCTTTTCTGTTGACTGATTTTTGGAAGTAGAGCACCAGGCCTTTCTTCCTAGTCTCTCTTTGTCAGGAAGCTCTGCTAAAGCTGTTGAGCTTCTCAGCAACATGTAAGCCTCCACTGACAGATGGCTACGCATGGGGTGCACTGGCCGGGAACTGAACCCTGGTCCCCCTGATAAAAGGTGAGACTCCTACTGAGCCACCACTGCCCTCTGCTCCAAATATTGGAAACGCGGGGAAGTCTAATGAAGAAAAATACCCACCTTCATTCCATCTGAGAGAGGGTTTCTGCGCTTGTGAGTGTGTGTGGAGACAGGCTGCACATGTGCGCATATATGTGCATGAAATGAGACTCAAATCTTGGACCACAGCTCGAATCCTGCTATTTTTACTTGCTGTTAGGTTCTGAGCATTTCTTTTTCACAAAAGCATGATTTTGGTGGCCACGCAGGACGTGAGCATCTGTGTTCGGAATCGATGTAAGCCTTGGCGGCTCTTGTGTTTGCTATTTTAACGCTGACGCAAATATCTGTGTACATAAATCTTGCCGCACTTTGATGATTTCCTTAGGATAAATTCCCGGAAGTGAATCACAGTACAAGAACAGTCTTTAGGCTCTTGGCGCAAGGCGAGGTGGGGTGGGGCGGGGTGGGTAGGCGGGGAGGAGGCTGAAGAAGGCTTTGGGGAGGAGGGGTGAGTTTTGAGCCTGGATTTGCCGGCCCTTGAACTCACAGACGAGAGAGAAGGCGGGCACTCTTGGTTGGGACACATGGGGTTAAGCAAAGGGGGTGCTCCTTCTTTAGGGGGACAGGACTATTTCACCCTTCAGTAGCAATGGGGGTGTCTTCCCAATGCAATCTGCACCCCCGTTTTGCTCAATGCTGTGCAGCAGTCCACACCCACTGACCTTCCTGGACCCTCTGGCCCTGATTTTGGCTGAATTCACTCCTTGCCTGCAAATGAGGAAGCAACCCCCCTCCTCAGATCAGCCATCCCATTGGAGAGCAGCTGCAGCTGTCCGGTGCCGCCCCCTTGTTGGGATTTGTTGTTCTTTGCTGTCAGTCAAGTCAGACTCCACCTCCTGGTGACACACACAATGTAACGGGACTGTTAGGATCCATAGAGGTTTTCCACTGGCTGGTTTTCAGAAGTCAATTGCCAGGCGGTTTTAGTCTGGATGCTCAGCTGAAAGCTGTTCAACGTCACAGCAATACTTGAAACCTTAGAGACAGATGGTGGTAGCTGTGCTTAAGGTGCACTGGCCGGGAGTCAATGGAATGTGGAAATTCTGTTACTGGACCACCATTGCCCCACTGTGTCCACTCACTGCCACTCACAGCTGCTGACCACTGTGTCCACTTACAGCTACTGACCACTGTGTCCACTCACTGCCACTCACAGCTGCTGACCACTGTGTCCACTCACAGCTACTGACTATTATGTCCACTCACTGCCACTCACAGCTACTGACCACTGTGTCCACTCACAGCTGCTGACCACTATATCCACTCACTGCCACTCACAGCTACTGACCACTGTGTCCTCACTGCCACTCACAGCTACTGACCACTGTGTCCACTCACTGCCACTCACAGCTGCTGACCACTGTGTCCACTCACTGCCACTCACAGCTGTTGACCACTGTGTCCACTCACAGCTACTGACCACTATGTCCACTCACTGCCACTCACAGCTGCTGACCACTGTGTCCACTCACAGCTACTGATCACTATGTCCACTCACTGTCACTCACAGCTACTGACCACTGCGTCCACTCAGCCACTCACAGCTACTGACCACTGTGTCCACTTACTGCCACTCATAGCAACTGACCACTGTGTCCACTCACTGCCACTCACTACTGACCACTGTGTCCACTCACTACCAATCACAGCTATTGACCACTGTGTCCCCTCACTGCCACTCACAGCTACTGACCCTGGAAAGACAGAACTGCCCCAGAGGCTTTTCAAGACTGCAAGTCTTTATGGGAACAGAAAGTATCATCTTTCTCCCATGGAGTGGCTTTGAACTACAGACATTATGGTTAGCAGCCCAATGCTTAACATCTCATGTCTTAAATACGAGAAGTGATAAACTCGAAAGTTCCCTTTGTGGTCCCTGTGCTCACATACAGACACCTGCGGGCTGCCCTGCCTCTTTGTGGGGGGAACGGGCAACAGGTCACCTGAGAGAATGGAGCGGGGCACTTCCCATTGGGAGAGTTCAGCTGGCATATTTCTAGGACTGAGGGAGAGAAAATGCGTGTCAGCCTCCAGACCAGCCCCCTCATCCTATTTCCCGGCTGGCACGGGTGCCCTGGGAAGCTGCCTATCACACCATCTTGCTAGTAGTCCTTGTTTATTGTAAGTGGCTTTACTTAGTGCATTTTGCAGATGTTGCGGTTTTTACAGATTGCAGGTTTGTAGCAGTCATACTTCGAGTAAGTCTGTCGGTGCTGTTTTCCTTTAATGTGCACTCGCTTTGCGTCTCTTGACACATTCTGGTCATTCTCACAAGATTTTGAACGCTTCCATGGTGCTTTTGAGCACTGATGTATACATGTGTTAACGTGATTCTTTTATGTTGTTTGATATATTATTTCGGAGGAGCAGCTGGTGGATTTGAACCACCAACCTTGTGGTTAGCAGTCCAGTGCTTATTGCACAGTGTCATACCCTACCTCTTACAGGTCTCTTATAAAGCATGTGACTCACTTTATTGCGATCTTAGCTGCCTCGCGGTGATCTGGAACAGAACCCACACTGCCTCCGAGGTGTACCTGTCTTTCATGCGTCCAGCTGGACCAATTCTTTCCCGACGACATCTGAGGTTGTGCACAATTCCGTGGAAGGAGAAGAGGGCAGAGCAGCTACCTGCGAGAGGAGCTTCCATCTGCTGGGCCCGGATGAAGTGGTTCTGAAGCCCCTGGCCCGTGCCCCTCCCCCTGCTCACCCTGGACCATTCTGAGTGTGGCAGGAGTGGGGTAACAACCCCCAGAAAGACAGGTCCATGGTGAACTCAGAGCCCAGAAGTCTCATCTCCCCACTGAAACCTGCTTGCATTTCAAGGGCCGCCGTAACAAAATCCCATAAAACAACACCTTTATTCACACTTGGTTCTGGAGGCTGGACCTTTGAAATGAAATTAAGGCATAGGCAAGGCTATGCTTCATCTAGGGGCTCCAGGGGAGGCTCCTTCCTGGTCTCTCAGGCCTCTGGTGGCCCCCGGTGTTCCTGACCTGTGATCAAATCACTCTCATCTCTGCCTCGGCCTTCACATGGCTTTCTCCTTTTTCATGTCAGGGTGTGTCTCCCTGTCCTTTCTCTTACACAGACTGCAGTCATTGGATTGAGCAGTCCCTGGGGCTGCTAACCACAAGGTTGGTGGTTCAAATCCACCAGTGGCTCCTCGGGAGAAAGATGAGGCTATCTGCTCCCATAAAAATGTACAATCTCGGAAACTCTATGCAGGCTCACTATGCGATGGAATCAACTCACTGGCAGTACATTTGGTCTTGCTTTGGTTTCGGTGGTGTCACAGTAGTTAAGGCATTTTGCTGCTAACTGGAATGGTTGGTGGTTCAAATCTACTAGCCACCACTCTGCATGAGAAAGATGTGGCAGTCTGTTTCCATAAAGATTTACAGCCTTGGAAACCCTTTGGGGCAATTTTGCTCTGTCCTGTTGTGGCACTGTAGGATAAGTACTGGATTGCAAGATTGGCTTAAACTGCAAGGTAGGCAGTTCAAGCTCACCAACCACTCCTCAGAAATCCTATACAGGCTGGCTATGAGTCAGGCTGGACTCGGTGACATTTAACAACAGCAATAATGATAGTCGTAAAGAGAAGCAGACCCTCAGTGAGATGGATTGGCACAGTGGAAGCAGAAATGGATTCAAGGGTAACAATCGTCAGGTTGGGGCAGGGCCGGGTGGTGTTTTGGTTTTTGGTACATAAGGTTGAAAGGAGTCAGAACCTACTTGACTGCACCTAAGAGTAACAACAACAACCTAGTCGCATTGGACTGTTAACTAAAAGGTCGGCAGTTCAAAGCCACCACCCACTCCTTGACATCCCTATGCAGAGTCACTATGAGTCAGAACCAACTCAAAGGCATGTAACAACAACACACAATCACAATGAGCCGGAATCGATTTGACGGCGCACAGAAACAACTACAACATGGAAAATACATAATAATAGAAGTTTGGGCAACCTCATCATATCGGAGTAGAGCTGTGCTCCATAGGGTTTCAGTGACTCATTTTTTTTGGTTCTCAAATGATCCTTTATTGACTCTTTTCTTTGTAGTTCTTAACCAGATGGGCATTCCTCAGCACCACTATTGATGTCATCTATGATGTCATGAGGGTTGTTGTTGTTGTTGTTAGGTGTCATCGAGTTGGTACTGACTCATAGCGACCTTATGCACAACAGAACGAAACACTGCCCGATCCTGGGCCAACCTCACTACTGTTGCCACACTTAAGTTCATCGATGCTGCCTCTTGGCCAATCCATTTTGTTTGGGGGTCTTCCTCGTTTTCTCTGACCCTCCATGTTACCAAACATGACATCTTTCTCCAGCGACTGGTCCCTCCTGACAATGTAAGGGTGGCGGTCATCAATGTTGTGACCCAATGACTGGGAAGTCCCCAAGATCTCTTTAATAGTCCCAGAGAGTTAGTTCTCTGGCCAAAGACCGGTGTTGCATTGGATGGGCAATGCTGATAATCTCATCTAAAGTCATCTTTCCACTGTGTTTAGTATTTCTCTTCTTTCTGTCTCTGGGAGGTATTGTGAGAACTTCGATCATCAGGGCAGAGACAGAAGGCACCACCTCAATCTTGAGCTTGTCTGTTCTGAATGGTCAGTCTCACTGTAATCCTTAAACCAGTTGCCTTGGCAATGTCTTTACCAACTTTTTTTGGAGACAAACCCAGAAGGCCAGAGCAGACGTACCCCCAACTTCCCCACTGGTGCAACTCAGGTACACGACTTTTGGGAGACATGGCAGAGGTGGCTGGTGTTAGATGAACCCAGATGCAGGACGACAGAAGAAAGTTGCCCAGTGACTGATTTTTTTAGAAGCAGACCACCAGGTCTTTCTTCGGTGGTACATTCAGCTGTAATCAAACCTCCCGTCTTTCAGTGAGCAGTCGAGTGTGTTAACCACTGGCACTTCCCAGAGACACACAGTTGCCATGTGTCGGTATCAACTTGTTAGGAAGTGATGTGAGTATGTCTTTAAAGTTTAGAAAACAGATTTAACTGCAGTTTCCTGGGAAATGGTATCAGATTGCCTACTTTTCTCAAAGTATCAGAAATATATTTTGCTTTCCTGCTTGATTGAACTTTTCAGTGCGCCCCCACTGCTTCATCCCCACAACTCCATTGTTGTTAATTACCATCCCATGGGCTCCAGCTCATGACGACCTTATATACAACAGAACAAATCACTGCACTATAGGACGGCACTGCTAGCTGAAGGTCGGCAGTTCAAACCCACCAGCCACTCCATGGGAGAAAGATGAGGCTGTCTGCTCCCATAAAGATTTATAGCCTTGGAAACCCTAGCCAGGGTCTCTGTGCGTCTGCATGGACTCGATGGACTCAGTGGTCTTGGTCTGCCCTAATCCATGATTGTAGCCACTGTATTTTGAGTCCCTTCAAACCTAGGGGTCTCACTACCTAGTACTGCACCAGACATTATTTTATAGTGATCCATAGACTTTTTATGGGCTCATTTTCCTGGTTCAAACACACCAGTCACTCCTCAGAAACCCTACACAGGGTCACTGTGGTTTGGAACCGACTTGAGGGCACTTAACAACAACAATTTTCCAAAGTACATTTCCAGTCCTTTCTTCCTTGTCTGTCTTAATCTAGAAGCTCCGCTGTAACCTGAACTTTCACTTTTTTTTTTTTTTTTTAAGTTTTTATTGTAGATTGAGTGAAAGTTTACAGGGCAGATCATCAGTTTCACATTCAACAAATCATATGCTTTGTTTCATTACATTCATTACAATGATTATAATCCCCTCCATGTACCAACAGTTAACAGTATTTCTCTTTATTCATTTTAGCTCTTTTTAAAAAACAACAACACACAGGCATATATAATAATTTAAACCACTAAAGGGCACATTCTGCAAGTCTGCCTCCTGGCCGCCAGCTCTCAGTCCTTCTCTTTCCATGAATCTAGAGTCCTCTGCTGCTCCCTCTATGTCCCCATTTCTGCCTCTGTCTCTGGTGTCGCTACTTCTCTGGATAGGATACCACATTCTGCTTGTGCTCTTCTCCCTTGATGGTCCTAGGGTCCTCTGTTTCTGGGCTGTAAGATTAACCACTACCCCGTTTTGGTTACAAAACTTCTACCTTAACAATTGTGACAGTTGCAATTAGTCATGATAACAATTACTCACTATTGAATCATAAGAATCTTATCCCCATCTCTTTTCACCAGACCCATCTAGACAAGATGAAAACTATTCAGTGGGGACTCTATCTCCCCCCACACACTCTTAAACTAAACTCCCTCTTGAAAACTTGTAAGTCAGTCACTTTATGCCTTTATCACTCCCTCATTTTAGGTAGTCAGTATCTAAGTTGCCCATCCCTATCTACCCTGCATACGGAGGAGATAGGATTGATACTTGATGTGAAGACTCCTTCCCTTTCTGTTGGTATTTTGAGCTACTACCTCCATGAGTGTAGGTCAAGTTCATCAAATTGTAGCAATTTACCCTCCTTTCCTTTGTCAAAAATTGGGATTTTTTGGTATCTTCCTCTAGGCGAGTTCTGATTATCAAGCCATTGAGGCTAGGTCAAATGGGTACTATCTGCAAGTTTGGGTGTTTTTGTGCGTCTCCCCGTACTTTGTATCAGCTGGATGCTTCACTCTCAGCTCTAGTCCTCCATGGCTATATCCTTGTCTGTGGACTATGTGTCCCCAGGTCTCTTCACACTTTGGACCAACCAGCCTTTCCTCTTCTCTCTCCCATCTCCAGGTTAAAGGGAGTCTATGGGCTGTGGTTGAATTCAACCCATTTCTTCATTGCTGCCTTTACCCCTATTCCACTCACCAGTAGACCATGTGATCGTCAGCAAGCTTACATGCCTGCTCATGTCATGTTGCATCACAGCAACGCACATGTCATGTTGCATCACAGCAACGCACATGTCATGTTGCATCACAGCAACGCACAAGCATCCGTAGTCCGACACACTGACAGATGAGTGGTGAGCACAGCACACAGATACGTGTATATAAATATGTGATCTTTCTCATCTGATGACGATCTGGAATTGCTGACTCCCATGTTGCTTGCAGAAGCGACCCCACAGCACATCACAGCAATCAACAACATGTTGCTTGCACATTTGTGTGGTGGACCGAGTTCCTGAAAGTCACTCAGAAATGATTTGTGAGATTAAGGATTATTGGAGAGTATTTTTCATTTGGATTGAGTTGTTTAACACTCCAGTTCAGGGTTTGGCAAACCAGTTCTAGGGATCACATCTGGCCCACCACCTGTGAGCCAAGAATAGTTCTCATATTTTTTAATGGTTACGTTGCTGTGGTTGTTAGTTCACATTGAGTCAATTCCAACTCCTGGCAATTTCCATGTGTGTCAGAGTCCAGCTGTGCTCCATAGGGTTTTTAAGGCTGTGATCTTATGGAAGTAGATTTCCAGGCTTTTCTTCCGCGGCACCTCTTGGTGGATTCAAACCTCCAGCCTTTTTGTTAACAGCTGAGCTCACTATCTTTTTACGCTGCCTGGGGATGGCGAATACATGTGATGGTGCTGGGCCTTATAAGGGATTTGTGTTTAGAAATCAGGAGTGATCGTATAAAACTCACGTTCCCAGGCTCTCTCTGGCCACACTCAACCCATACCCCTGCCAGCCTGGTACCCTGCCTGCCCTGCCCCTCGCACCACCACGTCAGCCCCTGGCTGCCTCTGAATGGGGTAAGGTTTGCCCCGAGGACCACCCTCTTCTGTACCCCAAGAAGGAGGTATGCTCTGGACTCAACGGGGTGTTCCCAGAGAGCCCCACCCTGGTATCCAGACTGGGTCTTCTCTGTTCTCTAATCCTCAGCCCTAAGAGCCTGACCATATCACACTTAATCCCCACTGTCTTCCAAGGAAGCCTTGGGCTGGAGTTCACTGACAGAGGGGCCCCAGAAATAGCACTGTGATGCTGCTGTTGGAGGTTGAGGCAGGCACCCTCCCTTTTACCTGTGGGCAGGATGGAGTTGGTAGGACCCAGGACACCCCGGGCTTGGGGAGGAGAGGACTGGATGGGGGGACCATGGGTGCTGAGGCCTCCCCTTCCAGCGCGGGAAGGAACAGGAGAACGCTCTGCCACGCAGTCTCTTCCTGACCTTGAGGAAACCGCAGCAGCTGCTTCTGGTTTGAGCGGTCACAAGGCCTATGGGGATAGAGGCTTCCTGTCACCATCCCTATGGGGATAGAGACTGTGGGCCCCCCCAGAACAAAAATGCTGGGCCTCAGGGGGGTCGGGTGGCTATGTCCCTGGGGCAGGTCGGCCTGAGCGAGGAGGAGGAACTCAGAGGAGGGTTGTTAAGTGCTGTCAAGTCAGTTCTGACCCATAGCGACACTGTCTAGGGCAGGGACCAGGAAAGGTCAAGAGGATGGGGTCAGCTTCCACTTTTAGACTCAGCTAGGGAGGGCTCTTTGTCACCCCAATAGGAGCTGGTCAGCAAAAGGGTTGTTACCTTGGGCTTCGCCTGTCCACCCCATTGGGGACATTCCGGTCAGCACTTTGTCTCACTTTCCCTATGGGACAGTAATGCTAATTATTGCACTGAGAAGATGAGATGATATCACAAGCGTTCAGTGCATTTCCTCCCTCGGTGAATGTCCCGGGGACAGCTGTTCCCATGGTTACCCCTCTGGAGATCCTGATGGGGTGTGCTGGTGGTGAAGGGTCCCTGGTGCTTCAGTGATTATGCCTCGGGCTGCTAATTGCTAGGTCAGCGGTTCAAACCCACCAGCTGCTCTGCCCCAGAGAGATGAGGCTAGGCTGTCTGCTCCTGTCGGAAACCCTCGGGAGCAGCTTGAGTCAGTCTTACAGGGTCCCTGTGAGTTACCGACTTGAAGGCAGTGGGTTCGTGGGTTTGTAAAGAAACCAAAGGCCCCTGCTGATCATGGGCACTTTCCTCGTCAAAGGTGGCACTGAGCATGGGAGAACCATATTGTGGTTGGTGATGGCCAGAGAGGCGTGGGGAGGTGGTGACTCCACGTTTCCCCTTGTCTGCCTGCTCCATCCCCCAGTGCTTGTAGCTGCAGGGGCCTCTGGGGCTTCCCCAGGCTGGCACTGTCTCTCTCTCTTTTTTTTTTTGGTCATTTCTACCATTTTTATGTGTACAGCTCAGCTCAGAGACATTATATTCACCATGTTGTACACTCAGCACCATGATCTGTTTCCAATTTTTCCCCCTCACCCTTAACAGAAATTCAGTGCTTCTAAAGCAGGCATTTCCAACCTCCCTACACTCCCTCTCCCCAACGCAACCCAAACCAAACCAAAGTCCTCACCATCAAGTCGATTCTGACTCACAGCGACCCTGTAGGACCGAGCAGAACTGCCCCATCAGGTTTCCAAGTGGTTACGAATCGGGCTGCGAACCTTAAGGTCAGCGGTTCGAAACTACCAGCTGCTCTGTGGGAGAAAGATGAGCCTTTCTACTCCTGTAAAGAGTTACACTCTCGGAAACCCTGTAAGGGTCGCTATGGGTCGGAACCGACTCGATGGCACTTAACAACAACAACAACAAATCTTTATAGAAATGGCGTCATCGTTCTCCTGAGAAGTGGTTGGTGGGTTCGAACAGTTGACCTTCAGGTTAACAGCCGAGTGCTTTAACCACTGTGCCACCAGCCTCCCCCCTCCCACCCCCTGCCCGTAATCACTAATAAACCTTCTGTTTATAGGCCACACAGTGCTGTTTACTGGGTCTGACTTCAGATGCACGGGGTCCTCCATGGCTCGGCACCTGTCTGGACTCATCATTTTCTCTATGGCCACGTGGTATTCCACTGTGTGGATAGACTGACCACCTTTGGTCAGTCCATTCATCTCTTGGTGGACGTGGGTTGTTTTTACCTTTCTCTCTTCCTTTTTGAGGGGTGAAGGGGGGCTCTCACAGGACCCCCAACAATCACCCCCTTGCTCCTTCATTGCAGGAAATGTGCTCACAGAGTTCCCACTCTCTTGTCTTTCAGCCTTGAAGAGGTCATTTGAGGTCGAGGAGGTAGAGACGCCCAATTCCACGCCACCCCGGAGGGTGCAGCCGCCCCTCCTTCGAGCCACAGTGGCTGGCTCCACCCAGAAGTTCCAGGACCTGGGGGTGAAGGGCTTGGAGCAGACTCGCCATGTAGACTCCTACAGTCAACGATCCCCCAAGGCTGCCCTGCGGAGGGTCGAGCTCCCGGGGTCCAAGACGGCCGAGCCTGTGTCCAGACGCACCGAGCTCTCCATCGACATCTCATCCAAGCAGGTGGAAACCACTCCTGGGCCGGCCCGCTTCGGGCTCAAGCGGGCTGAGGCGCTGGGCCACAAGACGCCTGAGCCGGCCCCTCGCAGGACGGAGATCACGCTAGTCAAGTCTCAGGAGGCAGCCCACCGGCGGATGGAGCCCCCAGCCTCCAAGGCCCTCGAGGTGCCCACCGTCCCTGCTGCCGACGCTGCCCCCAAGAGGGTGGAGATCCAGGTGCCCAAGCCAGCGGAGGTGCCCGCCGCCCCCACGCCCTTCCAGCCCCTGGAGAATTCGGAACCCAACTTGGGCTCTCAGCTGCAGAGCCGTCTGGAGTCCAGACCCTTGCCCACTGCGGTGGAGACCCCGCCCCGGAGCCTGGAGTGTGAGTAAAGGAACATTGAGGGGATGGGGGGACAGGTGGGTGAGAAGCTGGCCTGGTCAGGGAGTCAGGGGAGGGGGAGGCTGCATGTGGAGACTCAGTGAGAATCTAAGAACCCATGTAGCTGCTGCTTCTGTCCACTGGGATGGAAGAACATGTAGCAAGCTGAACTGCAGTTAGACTTGGGGTGCACAGGACCCTGGTGCAGATCCTTGGCTGTGTGAGCCCCCAGGCAGCAAGGGGGGACATGGATTGGTGGTAGGACCCAGGGCTAGTGCGTCCTTTGTGTGGGTGGGGTGTGATGTGTTTGAGACCCTTGGAAGGGCTCCGTGGGTGAGAGTTGGGTGGGAGTTGACATTTGTGGGCTCGCCGGACCAGTGGATGACCCGCCGGGAGACAGGCACTGCTTAAGAATTGCAGGCTGTCCTGGAAGTTCCTAGTGGAGGTTGAGGGTGTTTCACCTGGGAGCTTCCTCCTTCTTGTGTGATGGTTGATGCTCCCTCCCTTGCCCCTGGAGGACTGACCAGTGGACTGGGGCAGGGAGAGGACTTAGCTGTGCCGTGGTGTTTGCCTTCCGAAGTGGATGCTGCAGATGAAGGTCAGACCAGTGTGATGAACTCTGGTCTCGGCACGCTCACATTCATTCTCAGGGCTTCTGGGGAGGACTCCTTGGAACCTGGAGAGCTTCAAGGAGTCCCGGTGGTACAGCTGGGTAAGCATTGGGCTGCTAACCTTAAGGTCAGTGGTTCAAACCCACCAGCTGCTCACAAGGAGAGAGATGAGGCTGTCTGCTCCTGGGAAGATTTATCGTCTTGGACACCCTGTGGGGCTATTCCACTCTGTCCTTGTTGTCCTTGTTGTCGTTGTTGTTGTTGTTGTCAGGTGCCATCAAGTCGGAACCGACTCATAGCGACCCCATGCACAGCAGAACGAAACAATGTCCGATCCTGGGCCAACCTCACTACCGTTGCCACACTTGAGTCCATCAGTCATGCCACCTGGCCAATCCATCTCGTTAGGGGTCTTCCTCTTTTTCTCTGACCCTCCATCTTACCCAACATGACATCCTTCTCCAGCGACTGTTCCCTCCTGACAGTATGTTCAAAGTATGAGAGACTCTGTCCTTAGGGCCTCAGAATCAATGGCAGAGAAATGGTGTTTGGAATTTTGGAGACTTTACAGGGAACTTGGCATCTGTGGAACACAGGGCCAGCTGGGGGACTCCGAGGCTGTGAACACTGTCCCTGTCCCCTTCAGAAGCAGGGACCCCACTCGGCTTGGGTTGTGACTCCCTGAACTCAGGACCCTGACTCAGTATGTGTTCAGCAAGTGTGTTTTGGGTTGGGCAAACAGAACATTCTGGAATGTTTAGGTTTTCGTTTGAATGAGAATTTTCCGATGGCCAGTGGACCGGGGGAGGGAGAGGAGCAGATGCAGGCTGCTCATGGCCATGTGGGTCCTAGTCAGGGGCAGGTTGGTAAGGGCAGTTCTGAGGCTGGGGCCTGAGACTCTGCATTTCCTACTGGCCCTCTCACCACACTTTGGGTAGCCAGGGAATACAGGGCTTTTAAAAAAATATAGCAATTGTTTTCTTTTGTTGTTGAGTGCTATTGAGTCGGGTCTGACTCCTAGTGGCCCTGTAGAGAGTTTCTGAGGAGCGGTGGTGAGTCTGAATGGCCAACCTTGTGGTTCAAACTGACTTTGCAGTCCAGTGTTTATCCTACAGTGCCATACCAAGACTCCTGTTTTATTTATTTTCTTAATATTGTTGTCAAGTGCCGTCAAGTCAGGTTTGACTCATACCGACCCTGTATAGGGTTTCCAAGGACTAGCTGGTGAGTTTATATCACTGACCTTGCAGTTCAAACTGACCTTGTGGTCCAGTACTTATCTATGGTGCCACACCAGGACTCCATTTTCTTAATATCTTATTTAAAACTGTACTCCATAGGGTTTCCAATGGCTGATTTTTCTGAAGGTGATTGCCAGGCCTTTCTTCCAGGTGCCTTTCAGAGGATGTGACCCTCTAGCCTTTTGATAGCAGACAAGCCTGTTAACTGCACCACCCAGGAACTCAACCTGAAAGAATACGTCTTAGTAATTTTAGTGTAAATGTGCTTAAGAATTGAGAGAAAAACATATTGCATAAAACAAGTGAATCTTAAGTTATACTTTTCCCTTCCATTCCCCCCCCCTCCATCTGCTGGTAATCACTAATTTTAGACCCACTTGGCCCAGGGCATAAGGGGTGGTGAGATAAATTTAAAAATCACTAATTTTTACTGAAAAAAAAATTTTTTTTTTTTTTAACCACTGATTATTTTTGGCTTAATGGGTTTGCCTGCCTTAGGTATCTTGAATAAGTGAGATCATACAATATTGATCCTTTTGAGTCTGGGGTACTTCACACCTCATGTTTCTGAAGCTTGTCCACATGGTGGCCTGAATCAGAGCTTCTTTCTCTGAAAGGCTGAATGATACTCCACGCATGGATGCACGCGTGGTGGGTCTAGAGGATAAGCACTAGACTGGGAACCACAGGTTGGCAGTTCAAGCCCCCCAGCTGCTCCGAGGAAGACAGAGGAGGCTTTCTCCTCCTGCAAAGGTTTACAGCCTCGGATACCCTATACAGGGTCTTGATGAGTCAGAACCAACTCACTAGCACTTAACAACAACATGGATGTATCCTGGTGGCACAGTGGGCTAAGCATTGGGCTACCAACTACAAAGTTGGCATTTCAAACCTACCAGTTGCTCTGCAGGGGAAAAAAAAAGAAGTGTAAAGGTTTACAAGCTTGGAAACCCTTTATAAGAATATATGGCAGTGGGTTTGGTTTGGTACGTACCATGTTTTGTGGGTCTGCTCATCTGTGTGGTCACTTGTTTACACCTGTCGCTGCTAGTCGAGAACATTTTTTAAGCTCCCCCCATCCCCAGCCGGGCGTGAGTCCATCTGTCTACACTTGACCCTGCAGAGCCGCTCCATCTGCCCCAGATGCGGTGACGTCAGTGTGTTGGGCGGAAGGTGTTACCAGATTGTTTCCTCTCCTCACCGTTCTCCTGTTGGATCAGCACCTTTGATGTGCCGCCAGCAACACCTGCCTCCCTGAGATGTGGCTGGGAGACGTCCACATGTCTGGTGGCAGCTGGCATCAGACTAGGCCATCCTGTTCCAGTGGACGGGCAGTCCCAGGTTCTCAGGCAGGGCAGGGCACAGCCACAGGGGGGGAAGGGGGGCATAATGTCACCCTGTGACCAGCTCTGGTCAGCACCCACTTTACATGAGCTTCTCTGAGGGTGACCCATGGGGACAGCAGGTAAACAGCAGACATCTTCAGCTGTTTTGAAGAGGGTAGGATTTAACCAAAATGTCCTGGTGGTGCCATGGTTAAGTGCTTGGTTGCTAGCCAGGTCGGTGGCTCAGACCCACCATCCATGGGGAAAGACGAGGCAGCCGCTTCCGTAAAGATGACAGCCCTGGAGAGACCATATGGGGCAGGGCTACTCTGTCCTCTAGAGTCCTTGTGAGTGGGCATGGACTGGACAACACCCATCAACAGAATTTCAGCAGATGAAGCGGGGAGAGACCAGCTTTCCAAGCTGAGAGAGTGGCCTAGAGGTGTTGGGGAGCTGGGAGTCGGCGTTGGGAAAGTATTTACTTGTTCAAATCCCAGCTGCACTTTGGTCTGATGGCTCCTCAGAGTCCCAGAGCCTGGGGATGAATGGCTGCCATCATGCTCTGCGGACAGGAGCTGGGCGTAGGGTTACTTGTGAGTCATGGATGTATGTGCCCTCGCCCTTACTGTACCTCGGTACCCCCAGAAGCTGGTTCTCACCAGCTGGGGACCTGGTGGGGATGGGAAAGACTCTGCTAAGAGGAAGAGGGTGCTGGTGGGGGGATGTGGTGAGAGACCTGGGAAGGATTCCCTTCACCTAACAGCCTTCAGAGCCTCCAAAGTCACCCTGGGGGAAGTGGGCTGATGGACACAGGGATCCCAGCCATAAGCCCCTCCCTAACCCCCCCACACTTCCACCTACTTCCCTGCCCCTCTGCACCCCTCTCTTTCTGAGGCCTGGACACAGAGCTGGGGTCTCCCTCTGCCTCACTCCATCCATCATCCCTGGTGCTCCATCTGCTCCCACCCCTCCGTAGGGGCTCCCAGGCCCCCCACAGGCCCCTTCTGCAGCTTTCTGTCCCCGTGGACTCTCACCACCCCTTATGCCCTGGGCTAAGTGGGCACCGAGGACAGGTTGGTGGTGAGGGGTCTATGTGCTCGACTTGAAACACTCAACTATTCTGCTCCTTCCTCCTGGAGCTCAGCTCAGGGTGGGGCCCCCAGAGCAAGGTCCCTAAGGCTCGCTGTTACCACTGCGGCTGCCAGTTGCCTCCCAGTAGGCTCTGAGTTAACGGGGGTGGTGGGGGGTTGGTTCATTACAGAGCTAAACCGGGGTCTGCCAGTGAGGTGGTCACAGTGGCTACACTGAAAGGCTTGTTGTTCTAACTCCTGCTGGCCCCACAGGATAGAGGAGAACTGCCCCATGGTTTCCAGGGCTGTTCTCTGGGGAAGCAGATTGCGAAGTCACCCTGGTGGCTCAAATGGTTTAAGTGTCGGATTGTTCCCTGGAAGGTCAGTGGTTCAAACCTACCAGCCAGCTGTGCAGGAGAAGGAGGAATCGGTCTGCTCTTATAAAAATCCCCAGAAACCCTGTGGGATCACTATGATTCAGAATCGGCCGGATGGCAGGGTGGGTTTTTCCTGAGGAGCAGCTGGTGGGTGGGAACTACAGACCTTTTGGTTATCAGTTCAACATTCACTGCTGGGCAAACATGCCATGGTGTTGTTTATAAGTGCCATCAAGTCGGTTCCAGCTGATGGTGACCCGGTATAGGGTTTGTATGAAGCGGCTGTGGAGTTGAACTGTCCAGTGATTACCCTACAGTCACATCAGGACTCTGCCAACACACAGTTTGTTGTTGTTGTTATATGCCGTGGAGTCGGTTT